TTCTTTCTTCCAACCCTCATGTCGCTCTTGGAGCTAATTCGAAAAAAGGCCTCTACCTATAGTGCCAACGCTCGAAGTATTCATTCCTGGGAGTGTGAGTTATCCTGTTTTTCTTCTTCAGTCAAATTGGCCCTGATTATTTATCGAAAATTCAAAATCCAAATCAGCCCCAGAGCGTCGTCACCCCGAGACTCAGGATGAACTTGAACCAATTCCACTAGAAATCTACAGCGAAATATTTTCTTACATTAGATCCTTAGGCGGCTCTAGGAATGCTGAAAGGCAGCGCCTGAAGGATCTTCGCAGCCTCTCACTCGTCTGTCGCTGGTTCTGCGCCGAGCTCCTTCCCCTGATCTTTAAATCCGTCGTCTTCTCCCCGGACTCTGACGGAAATGGTATACAAAGGCGGGGTATGACCTTTGTTCCGTTTTGTAGGGCCCTGAATCAAGGCGAGACCTTCGCCGAATCTCTTGCCTCAATGGTTGAACATTGTACTTTCCGGGACTGGTTCGGTTTTCTCGCTGGACCCAATCCAGCGGCACGAGCTTTTCTGAAGTTTTCCATGGAAGCCTTACCGAACATGCCCAATATTACGACACTTGCTCTATACCGAATCCGCTTAAATCCAGATCCGAAGCGTTCTAATGCGGATCGAGACCGACGCATCCCATCGATGCTCTCGACCATACAAAATCTTCCCCATTTATCCTCGCTTACCTTAGACTCCTGTGACTTCCGGGAGGTGACAGCAAATGCCATCGAGAAATTTGCCTCTCGCGCCAATCTGGAAACATTTTGTCTATTTTTAAGAGAGGACCCCCTCATTATGCCTCCGTGTGACAACATAACCAAAGAATTCCTACCTCTTATCAAGAATCTGACAAAGTTGGGCACAGATAGCTGGACTCTCATTCAGATACTAATTTCTCCTAATGTGTCTTCCTCACTACGCACTTTGGAGGCACTCAATATCCTGGATCTACATTCTTTCAGTGACTACCTGTACCGAACTCCTTCGTTAGAGTCCCTTACAGTAGATCACCTTCCCCAAGTACTGCCTTTGCATTCGCTGGCGGGTCAAGTTGGCGATGCAATTTCACTTTCTCAGTTACCAAATCTTCGTCATCTCAGCTGTCCTCCACATGCGACATCTTGTTTTGGGAGTCCACGTTCGCTCTTGAGCCTATCGTTCACCAGTCATTCGGACAAGCAAATTTATCGGCACCCAATTTCCGACATTTGGTCGAACATACAGTCGTATAGATTCATTGCGGACGTATGTTTGCCTTTCGAATTTGTGGTGAAAACAGCCACCTCCCGCGTCAACACGCCCAATACTGCACCCCAGCGGCTGCAGAGGCTCACTGTCGTTAACAGTGCTAATTTCTCTATCACGGGAGGATTATTCAAAGCGGTAAGCGTGAACTGTTCTTCTGCTAGTCTGTATCGCTTCATCATTTGCAGACACTCCATGAATTTTGTACTACTTGGGGGACACCATCGCTCACAACATTGCGGTTCGTCGATATGATTCAAAATCCCAGTGACCGCTTTGAGGGCAATAATGATCTCAAAGTCCACCTACAGACTCTGATCACCCGGTTCTCGCAGAGTGATTGTTTTCCGAATCTCAGCTGTGTCTCATTCTGTGCTTCCGATGATGAAGATTGGGATTGGATCAGAGAAAACTTGACTGGGGAATGGAGGTCCCTACCTTCTGTCATAAAGCCGATCAACTGATGCTAGGTTTCTGTTGAAATTGGGCGCTGTTTGCTTCTCTTACGTCCTATTATTTTACACCCACACTTCCCGATGAAACGCCACCAAAGATTGTCCGTCGTTCGCATTTTCTCTAATCATAGACTTATTTCGACAAAACGCCAATGCCACAATGAAGCCACACGATCTAGACCTCGAATTCTTACTCCAAAGCCATTGCTAACGTCTGCTTGATAAGTTCTGCATGCCTATGAGAACGAGGCTTGATCATACATCTGAAAGGAGCAGGATTGCTGCATGGGAGGAGCAAGGTGAGCCAAAATCACAGTTTGGCAAAAGGATAGCAAGGGTCATACTTCAGTACCCCCGAAACATATTCCACTTTTGGTTCAATTGACTTTCCGTCTTCATCTATTCCTTTGGTGATATTGAATGAGTGAAGAAGCGATGCAGCGTTTACCCAGAGAGTTGATAGAGCCATATGTCTTCCCGGACACACTCTGATTAATAATGAGATGATTGAAGGCAGAACAAGATGATTGTCCGGTACCAACCGTCTACCAAACCCAAAAGCTACCGCAGTTGGATCACGAATATTAGGATCCAGGATCCACTGCTCCGCTCCGCTTCTTTCGGAGTCTGGGTCTTTACGAAGCCATCGTTTCGGTTCGAATTCATGCGCACTGCTACCGTAGACGTTTGTGTCACGAAGGATGCCCCTAGAAACGCGAGTAATTAAAAATGAAGACCGGTATCGGGCATACGCACTAGATGTTCGGTATCACGACTGCATGTTTAGGGATATGGTATCCGCGGTAGGTATCATCTTTGTCGACCCGGTGAATAGCTAGATCACGATTTGAGTAGTTCTATAAAGACAGAGATCACAGTTGGTACGGCTTACCAAGAGGTGCAACAGGCTGCCATCTGACAAGTAGAGTGATCAATTTCGCAAGGCGGCGACCGCAAATAACTGAAGCCTACCGGAGACATTCGTAGAGAGCTGCAGTCAGATACGGCAAAGAACTTCTGTCTTCATAATCTGGTAACCGATCTGGGTCAACGACACGATCCAACTCCTCCTGCGCTTCCTGCTGCACCTGAGGAAAGCATAGCATGAGGAGGATGAAAGTATGGAGGGCCGTCACACCCGAGTCGGCACCACCTGCAAAGAAAAGCTGTAACTGTATCTTATCGCCAAAACGATGGGATGGTTGATTATACCTTTGTACATCGTTCCGGCCGTCTCCTTTATGATCTCTTCTTCATCCGATAGATGACTATGTCTAGGATCTGCGTGTTTTGCATTCCGCAGACAGCGTAGACTGAAGGAATCTTTCGCATTGTCATTGATCTACATGCGCAGGTCATTAGAGGTTATTGAAATGCAGTATATCGCCTTCTCCTAATTCTTACCATAGCTTCTTTAACTCTCATAAAAGGAGGCGTAATTGTTTCCGACAAAATACCCTTCCAAGCCTTGGCCTTGCGCTTGAAAGAGGCTCCGGGAAACCAGGAAGGTACATACTTGAGTATGGGAAATGTATCCTGTAGTGGCAATCGGCGGTCAGCCGTTCAATATTCCAGAAGTAGCCAAAGCGCGTAGAACGATCTTACCACGAGAAATGCGCCGGGGACTCCGGCTTCATTCATAACGGATGTCATTCTTTCGACGGCCAAAAGGTCAGGATCATTTTGAGGCTGAACTTCGATTCCGTATGCTACAGAAAGTATGGTTCCGCCAATCATGCTGGGGACAGAAACTAGTTCGAATCGATTACACATGGGGATAGAGGGTTCTCTTACTGTTTTATGTGTCCCGTCCAATTTTCCGGTGTTTCCAGCAAATTATTTAAGAAGACCCGCAGGGCCTTCTTTTCTTGTGGTCGGTGCAGTTCGTGACGATTGGGATGGAATTCTACGATAATACTGGTTAGTATCTCCATGAAGCCAAAACTGAGAACCGAGAGATACCTTGGTGAAAGAGCTTTCTATGTGCTTTTAAGTCGTTTCCATACGGCATGAGGACGAGGTCGCGGTCCCAGCTTGATGGAAAAAACAACAAGAACAGTTGGTGATTGGTTCCATAAGAACAGGGCAGCGAGATTACCCTATACTAAAAGCCGCGTACGCATAAAAATAGGGTGAATTCCAGTCATGGAAAGGTTCAAGTCCCACTCACACATCCATCAACATCGTCGCATGAGGCCTAAACCAATCCATCGAGAAAGTCAAGTTCCCCATATTGACTACGTATTGTAGGCGATGCATACCTGCTGGAATAGATACGTGATCTTTTGTCAAGAAGATCCGTCGCTGCCTCAAATGAGTTTAAGACTATTATATCAGAGCCCGCCATGTTGAGGTAGAGAATATCTGATTCTGTATGTCGCATTAACCCCTTCGACGTTCTAATGAATAGAACAACATCGCAGTGTCACTTGCCGAATTGTTTTGCCCATCTTGAGAACGTGATCCACTGAAAAGTGGAAGGCATGTCCTGTAAGGTAGGGAAGTCGTCATACAGTTCAAAGTAGGGGCGTCGAATGTGCACACAAGAATATTACCGAGAAAGGGAATCATCTTGGGTCCCGGAGGGAGGGGTAGATGCTGTCCATGACCACGATACCGTTTGAGAAATAGCAAAAGGACCACAGTGACAATCAGTGTTGGGAGCAGTATTATATCCATGGCGTGAGTCGAGCTGAAGTCGACCAGCGGAGGTTGAGTAGTTATAAGCGGCAGAGACTCTACATCCTGGTGAGTCAGATTCAGTTCAACGCCGACCGGAGCGCTGTTTGAGCGTCTTGCGCAGCTTTTGCGTCTAGTATCCCGTCGGATGCTCACGCAAGTCTACAGATTGACTGATGCATCTATTCTCCATGATTGAACTACGAAGGGTACCCAGATACCCGGATGGATTGACCTGCCATTCTCGCAGTACTGCTCGACTTCAATTGCAGCTGTCAACCTTGAACGCTCTACATTTTTGTACACCCTGCCTCTGTAAGATCCGACCGATTTCAGCGAAAAGAGTCAAGTTTCGAAATCAAGTTGAAGGACGTATAAGGCGGATCGAATCGCTGGACATGAGTCTCGAGAAGTTAGTAAATCCAAGTAAAGCGGTTCCAAAACGGTCCGTATCCGTTCAATAAGAGCACACAAGAGTCCGACGCCCTAATGTAAAGGTGACAACGTAGTTTCACGAAATAGCCACATTGAGTAAGGACTGAGTAGGAGTAAAAGAGGATCTATATTTCCATTAGTCGGACTGCGGAAAGGTCACTTTGCCGGAGTGGTTAACGGGATCGCCTGCTAATCTTAGCCGAGCGGTTGGGCTTTGCCCGCGTGTGTTCGAATCGCACAGGTGACGATTCTGTAAGAATAAACTCTTTTTTCCTTTCGCCCTGTTTCATTTACCTTTGCGCTGCTTTGTGTACACTCAGTAGAGGCAAGAAGTTGAAGATCAAGCACTTGCTTTTTATACAGTTTGCAACAGGATTTTCGAATGCTCTTTAATCCATACAAGACATATGTACAACACCAATTACTACTCTACATAAAACACTCAAAATGAAATGCGACGCAGCTACACCAACAATCTTCCCAAGGACATTCCCAACTCCAACACCAGCACCAAACAGTAACCAAAAAGCGTCGTCACTCAACGATCAATGATCCATCTCCTCCCAAGCTCTCCCCACCGTCTTCTTTAAGTCCTCCTGCGTGACCTGTTTACCACTCGAAAAGTACCCACTCGCAATCTTGGCATCAATCTCGACTCGAGAATCAGGAGGAATGAGATGCGATGGGATATCGTATCTGTGAAGAGAGGAGAGGGAGAGTAAGAGGGTAAATAAGAGGAAGCAAGAAGGTAAGACGAGATAAAGTCAGGTGTCGTACATACCGTTTGTTGATAGTAATACCGCTCCCCACAATCGCATCGTACTTCATATCGCTCATACTGACCATATTGTCGATCTTGGTAATACCGAGCCAGTGCAGAACGTCAGGCATCAAGGCCTATGAGAAGAAAAATTCGAGTCAATGGAGAACGCTTCAAAAGTACGACACGGCAAGGAAAAACCTTACCTGGAAACGCATATCCTTAACTCCAGCGACCAACTCTGTACTCTTAAAGTACTTATCAGCCGAATCACCCCCTCTCTTCCTCAAATTATACACAAGGTACTTTGTCACCTCGCCCAACGCCCTGCCCTCTTTTCTGAAATAAACAACGACGCCAACTCCCGGCTCGCCGGGTTTACCATCTTTCATTTGATCGACGTGTCGTCCCTGAGCGGTTCGGATACATTCTTCCATAGCGTAGACGAGGTAAGGTTTACATGTACAGATGTCGGACCCGAAGACGTCTGAGCCGTTGCATTCGTCGTGAACACGAAGAGTTAGGACTTTGGATGGATCTCGGATGAGGGCCGGGTTGCCAACTAGGAAGAAAAATTCTAAGGACACGAGAGTTAAGGGGATAAAACGCCACTTACAGATATACACCGTAAGATTCCCGATCGGAGGTAGGAAAACTTTGATATCCGGTCTCGTTATCAATTCAGGGTACATCCCACCGGTGTCTTCGAAGAGGGCGCGTCGAAGTAGGGATTCCGAGCTGTGTGAAGAGAGAAGTGTAGGTCATTAATTCGATCTGTAACGGATATGAATGCAATCACTAACATTCCAAATCGCTCTGCAACGCCGGGAAGATACCAGATGGGATCGACTGCAGCTTTGCTAACATTCACTTCAACCTAAAAGGGAATATGAGCGCCGGCTGATATTGATGTAGATTACTTACACCAGGATCGAGTCCGGGTACCAGACTACCATCTTCCATTCTCAATGGGTCGCTCTGAAGCACGATCTTGCCATCTACAACGATTTCCCCTCGACTGACCGAATCGTCAATTTCCTTCAATTTGATATGTGCTTTGGTGACGGAGATAGACGGACGAATGTCGAGACCTTTGCCGCCTTGATTCTATATGAATGAACAATATCAGGTCATTTGATCGAATCGTCGCTGAAGTTCTTCCATACCTTGTCTTTGATTTCCTTCTCAAAAACACTTGGTACCAAATGACCCCACGGATCCATGCTTACAATCTTCATCTTCTCTCCATCCTGTTGATACCACGCCGGATTCGGAGGTATTTCTACTGGAGGTTGGGTCATCGAATAATCCGGTTTATAATTCGGATCCAGACTCCCCATGGCGATACTCAAAGCACGATAAATTGAATAACTTCCCGAATGTGCCCCAATAGCATTACGATACTTTATTGAGCCTGGTAATCGTGAACATATTACTGAACCACGTTGAGTTGGTGTGGATGCGCCCCAGGAAAGCTGATAGGGAGAAATTCCATGTTGGTCTGGATAGGTAGTCAGTAAGACTCTCCCTGGGTATAACGACTTTTCTCGTTCTTTATCGATCGGGGCAGCGGCTGATGCTGGTTCTTTGGATGATCCAGGATGGCGGTGGGCAGCATCAGCAGCGGTAGAGATGACAGAGTCTGCGCTAGATGACAGCGGGATGTTACCGAGCCCAGTTGTACTGTCGACTGAAGACTGGCGTCCCGAATCGCGAAGAATGGGTAATCCTTTCGGCTCTGGTTGCGGGGGTGAATTCGGATTGCAGATAGAGTCAAGCTTGACCGAGCAATGTCAGCATGGAAGATAACGGTGATCTCAGAAATATATACCTTGGCTTGCATTGCCTGCTGGGACATCTGCAAAGACTGCAGCTGAGTGAGGATCTGGGTTAATACTGCATCTGAAACTGAACTGGTTGCCATTGTCTGCGACGGTCTGAAGAAAAGGAGGAGGATTACCTAGATCCGGCATTTTGGTATATATACCTTGCTTCGGTCCGGATCCCGGCAATCCCCGACACGCGTAGTACACGTTAACGTCACTCTTCTATAACATCCGACGCGACCTGACGCGACGCGTTGTATACGCGTTTTTCGATCATGTGCTAGAACAACTCAGTTTCCGCCTCACGAGGCCCACAGCTGCTTACTTCTCTGTGCAAGCTGAAAATTCACTGAATTGCATGCATTAAATTACAAAGCGTTCAATTCGTACGACGGTTCGGAACTAGTGGCAGCAAATTAACTTGAGAGCCGAATACCTCAAGCGAAGGCGTGTATCCCCCACCATAAGCCATCAAAGTAGCGTCCTCAAATTTCCCGTCGTACGAGTGGGCTGTCATGCTTGGCTTATCTAGCCCCTCCATACGGCCGGTGTTATATGTCCCAGAATCCAGATCGTTTGCCGTCCTATCAGCCAATACCTTCTCCCAAGGGTTCCTATAACCTGTGAAAAGAAAGACGATTCCGTTCCAGAGTGACTGAGGATATCCCTTAATCCATTGAAGGATATCGCCCCTACTCTCCCAAATCAAGCGAATGACTTGCCACAGAGGGGGGAACGCAACAGCTGCTGCTAGTAACTTTTTTCCCACTAAGTTATCATATCAGAACATGTGGCAGGTCACTTCTTACCTGTCCAAAATCGAGTCCGTCATGGCCTTGGGATTGGTACGGTTGCAAGGGATCAGCATCCTTGACATAGGGCTGGATGGTTGCCGCGAGATTATAATAAAAGAGCGACAGATGTGTTTCGTAGAGGACCAAGGAAGAGCTCCATATCAAATAGGCGATGGTTATGAAGAGCACCAATAGCCAAGGATGACTCTCCATGATCACGTTCCTGAAAAGAACAGTGGTAGTGAGTTTTTCTGAATTAGGTATCGACCTTGCCCAGCTCCTGTACCCACCGTTGTGCCTTCGTAAAACACTTGATCCACAAGGGGAACCATTGTACCCAGCGAAAACGCTCCCAGCGCCTCGCATCCGTCCAGAGCCTGGTATGCTCCTTCCGTACATCTCCAAAATGTCGCAGAACATACATAACCCAAATCACAGCGATAGCGGGAGCGAGCATCCACACATCAAATACACCAATTGTCAGCGTGGCCGCTACAAAGCGATACATGAACCAAGAAGTGAAATTAATATGCGGGCACTTTTCGCTGTTGCTAAAGACGTTCGCAAAGTAGATCAGCGCGTCCATCGTAAGCCACATGGGGAGCACCAGCAGAGATAGCATAGCATAGATAAGAGTGGAATTGGGACCCAGTCGACGGAAGAGGTATGAAGATTTTCTGAGTATTCTCCGGATGGCGGCGTAGAGCAAGTACAAGGAAAGTGGAGAAATGGTAGAAGTGATGGCAAAATGAGCGTCAGCCACCGAAAGCTTTTTTCGGTACATGGAGATGAAAGCGCAGATCAGCAGGGTGTAGATCTGCAATAGAAGGACAGAGATAGACTCTGCAACATCCTTGCTTGTATAGCGAATAAGGATGACTGCCGTGATGGCGTTTCGATTAGTACGTATCCATTGCTGTGTTTAGAGTGAAATAAGAACTACCAACCTAGACAGACGTTGACAACAAAATTTGACAGTCGCACCGCGTATCCTTGCATATCTGGATCCTGTCCTTCCGATGACCAAACGCAGAGCAAGTACTGCTCGAGAGTCTGGAGGGAAGGATCGGTGGTGTTTGGATTGAACGGTAACCCAAGTTTAACTGGGGCTAACATGCTGGCATTAGTGGCATTGGACATTATGAGTAAGTGTGCACAGAATAATAAGCGAATGAAGTGGTTCAAGAGTGAAAGAAGAAGCTGAAATCAGCCCGCAGAAGGCCTAATGGCGCGAGATAGTCAGAACGAAAGAAGTTGTGGTACGGCGGCCCCAGCACAAGACTTTGATTCTTATAAAGGCTTGATATCTGGAAGCGCTCGAGTGTCATTTTCGGGATAGATTGTTAAGTGCATCACATTCTCCACGCAGTGCATGGCTCGGAAGACCAAACCTGTATTTGATGCCGTTATCTTGTACCTAGAGTATCTAGGAGAGACACTACCCAAATTCAAGACAAAGGCCTGGTAAGGCGCGTACTTTGGGGTATAACAGATTGAGATAAAAAAAGGTCAAGCCGTACCAGCGTCGGTGCTAAAACATTACTCAGTAACTTACTACAATCAACGACTAGTTCAAACCTACTTCATTCCAAACAGCGAGAACAGCGCCCATTACGATTCTATATATATACTTCCAGGTTACGCTGACGAGTGGCAGTTGATATATGCTGTTGTAGACGTGTCCAACAATAAATCTGGAAGTCTGGAGATTGAACCATAGCGATCTCGTCGGGACTGCCGTGATCGCCTACCTCCGAGTGTGGAATCGCTTCCTCATCTGCCATTCTCTATTCGGGAACCTTTGTAGTCGAATACCACATGATAGACCCAGAATTAGCCACAGGTACGCAAAAGCCTGGTGGGTTCC